AAACACACCTGTCCTGCAGGATCAATGCCTGGCACCCGCGTGAACATGCAGAAAAAAAAACCGTGCAATGCAAGGCTGCGGGCGTCGGGAGGGGTGTGGGCGGTTTGGTAGGGCGGATTGTGCTAGTGTGGCTCGGCAAAGTCGAAAAACTAACCTCCGCCGTCCCCATATAACTTCTCTTGACCACCCACGACTCGCTCCCACACGCACACTCACCCTCTGCACCGTCCAAAAATCCATCCACCGCATCCAACAATCCACGCCACTGCCTCTCCACGGGCATCAAGAGCACAACACTCTCAAACCCCCCTCACCCGCCTGCTTGTCGCCCTCCCGCGACTTGCCCTAGCCGCCACCACCACCACCCCACGCCTCGAGGCCACACGCACAACCCGCTCCTCAGAGTTGCCAGCGACATCAGGAGTATATGTATTCGCGCCAACGTTACGCCTTCCGAGTCGAACCTCCCCCCAAACTGCAAAAATTTCGCTGTATGCGGATACCAAGCAGTACTATACACCAGACCAACGGCTAATCCACTGCCCCTCTTGACCCCGAGTCACGCCTGTCTACCACCCCTACTACCCCAGAGCCTGCATTTGCGCATGTCTCTTTCGGCCCTCGTCAACATACCCGACCCGACCTTGTTTGTCCGCACGCTGCACTACCAGTAACAATCTTACCCTTCTGTTCCCCGCACCACCGTCACCATGGCCACCGTCAACATTCGCCGCGATGTCACCGACCCCTTCTACCGCTACAAGATGGAGCGTATCCAATCCAAGATTGAGGGCAAGGGTAACGGCATCAAGACTGTCATTGTCAACCTGACCAGCGTCGCTGGCTCGCTCGCCCGTCCCCCTGCTCACGTCATCAAGTACTTTGGTTTCGAACTTGGAGCCCAGACAAACACTAGTCCCAACGACGACCGCTGGATCATCAACGGCGCCCACGACGCCAGCAAGCTGCAGGACTACCTTGACGGCTTCATCTCCAAGTTCGTCCTCTGCAAGAAATGCAAGAACCCCGAAACCGATGTCCACATCAAGGATGGCAACATCACGCTCGACTGCAAGGCGTGCGGAAAGATTTCCGAAGTTGACCCTCGTCTCAAGCTTAGCTCTTTCATTCTCAAGAACGAGCCCAAAAAGGGCAAGAAGGACAAGTCTAGCAAGAAGGCTGAGCGCCGTGCCCGCAAGGAGGCCGAGGCTCGTGGCGAGGCCGGCTCGCCCGACAACGGCAGTCCCGGTGACAGCGCAGAGGAGAATGGCGACGACGGCGACCTTGCCCTCGAGGCTGGCAGTGATGACGAGCTCACTCGCCAGATCAACGAGGGCGCCAAGGAGATTGAGGAGGAGGATGCCAAGGAGGTCGAGTGGTCCATTGACACATCTGAGGCGGCCATCAGGGCCCGTGCCCAGGATCTCCCCGACGACCTCAAGCGTGCTCTTGTCATTGAGGAGGACGAAGAGGGTGGCTCCAACTACGACACTTTTGGCAAGTGGATCATCGATACGGGCGCAGAGAAGGGCGGCGTAGAGAATCTCGACAACGTCGACATCTACATCAAGGCCAAGGAACTCGGTATCGAGACCAAGCACCGCACCCTTACTGTCATCCCCCAGACTCTGTTCACGGAGAAGATTGTCAAGCAGATTGACGCCCGTGCTCCGATGCTCAAGAAGATGATCACGTCTGACAAGCACGAGAAGGCTTTCCTTGGCGGTATCGAGCGCTTTGTGGGCATTGAAAAGCCTGAGCTCATCCCACAGGTATCTGCCATCCTGCTCAAGGTGTACGAGAACGACCTCGTGTCTGAGGAGCAGCTTCAGACTTGGTGCTCCAAGGCCAGCAAGAGGTATGTTGACCTCAAGGTCAGCAAGACTGTTCGTAAGTCGGCCGAGCAGTTCAAGAACTGGCTTGAGCAGGAAGAGAGTGAGGAGGAGGACTCTGACTAGAACGGTTATACTGACAACCGTGCGTGGTGAGAGTCTGTAGATCAGCCGACCGCCAACTGTCTCTACCTCTGCGTTGCTTTTTGTGTCGGCTTGTTCCTAGTCTGGTATCGCTTGATTTTAATTGAAGACGATCCTGTATTCTCTCTCTACTTTATACTCTACTCTACCTAGCCAATCATTAGAAGAAGAAAACCCTGATTTTTGCAAGACTTCGCTTCATGACCGTGCATTGCCATCTACTTACATGTGTACCTACTTGAGTGCACCTGTGCCCCACTACTATACCGTAGTCAATTCCTTCCACCAGGTGCTCGGGCCCACGCTGGGCACACGGCGAAGTCTCTGCGTGCATGTGTAGAAACGCCATCCGAGCCCATAGCCCGTGCTACAGCTAGTCAACGAGAACATGGCGCGCACCTGCATGCCCGCCCCCCACTCTATGATCAATCTTCGCTTGTACCCTGCCACTCACGGCTTGTAGCTTCTTATGCTCTTCCACTGACACTCCTCCACCACCCACCCTCTGGCCTCTGCCATGCAAGATAGCGGCACCCAGATAGAGTGAGAGGAAGAAAAAAGCGAGCATCGGACCTCGCCTACCCTAGTGCCCCAGGTCCCTACCGCGTCAACCACGTCCTCAGCTCCCACATGGTCCATGTCCACCCGCTGCGAGCTTAGTCTCCGAGGTTTTGCCCCACAGAGGCAAGGATAAGTGGGGGTTCCATGCTCTGGATCCTGGCCAAGAACGCCTTTTTTTCAATCCACCGCTCCATGGTGGGTGGAGCGCGCGACGCGACTGGGTGAGCGAGAACCCAAAAGTCTGGCTTATAATGTGACCGGCCCCTCGTCCTGGCTATAACCCTTTTCCAAGGAACCGTACGCCTTGTACACCTCTCGTGAGCGACTTTGGGGTTTTGCGCTCACGTCAAATCCGAAAAGCTCCCACAGATTATCATCCTCGTCTAGTACTCGACCTTGATCGCCCATAGGCCTAGCGTCATGAACCAAGTCCAAGTCCACCCCGCCGAGGGTGTTGTTGTCCAGGATGCGCACCAGCAGCACTACGATCCCCAGTCAGTGCACAAGACAGGCGCCGGCCACTATGTGACGTCTGAAAACGAGTCGCATAGCGTCGCGCCAGCCAACGAAATCTTGGAACGCGATGCGCAGACAAAGGGACGCTGGTTCCAGTACATCAAGACGAAGCAGTTCTGGGTAACGCTAGTGATTGGGCAGGGTATGTATCCATGTCGACCTACTCCAATGTAGCACTGCTAACCAAGAACACGCAGTCCTTGCCATTTGCATTACCTCGACGAACACCTTCTCTTCTTTGCTCTCGGCAGAGGGCACTTCGATTCCCGCGTTCCAGACCTTCTTTAACTACGTCCTACTCAACATCATCTACACCTCATATACCCTGTACAAGTACGGTTTCAAAAAATGGGTCCGTCTCATTGTAAAAGATGGATGGCGTTTCTTCATTTTAGCTTTCATGGACGTCGAGGGTAACTACTTTGTTGTCCTGGCGTACCGCTATGTAAGTCGTACTCGCTTGCGTTCATCCACGAGCAATCTCTAACACACCTGCAGACTACTATTCTCAGTGCCCAGCTAATCAACTTTTGGGCCATCGCCGTCGTCGTCATCATCTCCTTCTTCTTCCTCAAAGTGCGCTACCATTACACCCAAATCTTCGGTATCCTTCTCTGCATCGGCGGCCTAGGCGTGATCTTCGGCTCAGACCACATCACGGGTAGCAACAACTTTGGCGCTACCGATCAAGTCAAAGGCGACTTGTTTGCTCTCCTAGGCGCCACATTCTATGGTCTCTCTAATGTGTTCGAGGAATGGCTCGTTTCTGAACGGCCTCTTTACGAAGTCGTTGGCCAATTGGCTTTCTGGGGCATGTTGATCAACGGCACGCAGGCTGGCATTTTCGACCGCGATGCCTTTCGCACCGCCACGTGGAACGCAGATGTCGCCGGCTACATTGTGGGCTACACACTCATCCTCTCCCTCTTCTACTCGCTCGCTCCCGTTCTGTTCCGCATGAGTTCTGCCGCCTTTTTCAACATTTCCCTGCTTACAGGAAGTTTCTGGGGTGTGGCTATTGGTGTCAAGGTGTTTGGGCTCAAGATTCACTGGATGTACCCGATTGCGTTTGTCTTGATTATCATCGGCCAGGTTATCTATTTCCTGAGACAGAGCTCGGTCGGCGAGGCGCTGAAGCCTTGGCTGGGAAAGAATCAGGAGAGGGGACATGCTGGGCTGGGTACGGCGAAGAGGAGGGTCGAGAGGCCTGAGGCTATTGTTTGAGGATGTGTTTTTCTCATACGGGATAGATGAATGGATGGTTGGGGAGATGCGAATACCCTGGTTGATACGAGGTTCACGTATTACTATGATCTTGAACCGCTCGATAATGAATGATGCTTTTTTCTCACTGAAATAGTCATGCCGCTCTACTCTTTTTTTTTGAAAATCAATGTTAAATCTAGTTTGTCCATGTACGCCTGGATAGGCGAAAGGTTGTGCAATGTCATTGGATCCATATGATTGCAGAAAACTACCTCTACACCCACGTTATTAAATCACTAGAGGTCTGCGTGAAAGTAAAACTTGGATACTACTTGTTTGCTAGCTCCTTAGTTGGAGCCTCTCCAGCGAGGGCAAAAGTGGGAGTAGTCATGTTCTATCCGTGGGATAGTGCCAAGCTTTTGGTATATCGATAACATCACGTGGGCGCTTTCGAGAATTCTCGTCCACAAATACCGATTATCCACGGATGTAATGAACCTATTCTGATTTTGATGGCACATACGACCATAGATTCAAGAAATTTAGCCATCCCGTTCGATCTGGCCTATACAAGCTTGAAATCGGCGGATTAGTAGTTAGGTGGGTGACCACTAGCGAATCCCCGCTGTCGTATGTATGTTTTTGCTTTTTTGCTTGCACTGTCTTTAGCCAAGCTGTCTTTTTTTACACAAGGCCCAATAGCCCATCTCTAGATTAATGCAGTTTGCGTTAATCAAGGCTCTAAGTGGCGACAGCGGCGTCTCGGAGGATGGGCGAGTACGACTACCCAGGTGATTGACCGCCAAGTGCGTAATGGTGTTAGTATTGGGGATAGATACAGAGGCGAAGTTGCTACCGGGGAAGTTGACGTTGTTTGCGTTTGCGTTGACGAGGATCAGTGCCAAGTTCCTTTTGTGATACCAGTCCCTGTGGTCGTCTGCGCTGTTCTCGCCGTGTCGAAGGTCGAGTGCCTGCATATTGCGTCAGGCGCTGGCAGCCCGGATCTCCGTGTTCCCTGAATTCCTTATCTCGGTTCCATCCTGCTGCGTCCCAGGGGATTCAGGATGGGTTGTCCTCAGTGGGTGCTTTGTGATCGTTGAAGTATTCTACGTTTGTCATCACATTGCTTAGGAGTTCTGGGCTGTGTATTAGCAAATAGTAACAGGTAGGATGGGTGGAAAACACGAAGCGGAGGGAAACAAGGTAACGTACTGTTGCAGTTGCCTTGCAAGGTTTGCTGCCAGATTGGGACACCGGTTCTCGTGGTCCCAATGGATTCTTCGGGTTTAGTGCGTTGTCTCCGAGGGCAGGCTGCCAACCCCATCCTCCCTCCTCGGAATAAGCAAACGGAAATTGATCACAACTCTGTGTTGAAAGAGTCTACACTTATAACTGTTTCAACTTTGCTTCGAGGGGAGTCGGATAAAGATCTGGGTACAAAGAGAACCTTGGCGCATATTGCTTTAGCCCTGCCTTTACACAGTATGTGCAAAGTTGGTTGAGCCTACCCTTCAGGGTTTAGATATACTGATCATCTTTAGGGAGAGCAACTGCATTATAAGTTCAAACTCTGTTAGGATATAGAGGCGAATAGACCGCGCAATAATATGTCTCTGGCTTTGTTGAAATTAATAGCTAATCGATACTGCACAAATGCCATCAACGCCTTGGGCTTTAGTTTTTTTCGCTATATCTTCCCTTGCTCTTTATACAGTCATTAATAATGCTGACTTTTAGACGACACGAGCGTCTCTTTGAACCTTAGCTGAGCATCGCGCGGCTAAACTGACAATTTGGCTGCGTCACTGTGCATTTGCATCTCCTATCTTGTTTCGACGGAGGAATTCAATAGAGTACCCCGCCAGGACTGCATCGTATCTAGGTTACACCACCCACAAACAAACACTGACCATTTTCTATCAATCTGTACACCAACTTCGCTTCCCATAATGAATAAATTAGAGAAAGCCAAAAACTCCGCGGACTCTAGCACATGCATCTGTTGCAAGCGGTCAAAGACGGGAGGTGCCTTCTTCGAGCTCAAGTCCTACACCCCTGGCGAAACACCAAAGTCCAGGTATAAGCAATTGGAAGCTTAGATCACTGTTTTTCGTGAAGCAAGCGATCAAGGCTGCCAGCGATGTGCAATAGTATTCAAAATGGTCACAGCGCGTGAAAAGAGACAACCGCGAAGATAGTAATAGCTACATAGTTGTCAGCAACATTTCATCTGACGATCCGGTGACCAATATGGACGTACGATTGACGAGAGAGTATGCATCTTTTTCATCGAATGACGTTATGCTGGAATTGCTGAGTGCGAAACGTACGTGTCTCACAAATCGATCATGCGACTTTACCGTAGCATTTGAGTTCTAATAAAGTGAAGACAGCAGTTCAACCGGCATGCTGGGAAGCCTCACAGGACAATAGAACCTTTTTAGTAAACCGTTATGGTTTGAAGACGCCACTTCTGATGATGCGCTACAAGAGAACATCAAGTCTCTGGAGCGTTGTTTAGCGCACCACAAATACTGCACAAACATCCCGAGCAAGCTTCCCAAGAGATGCCTCGAACTGAATCAGACAACTATGGCGTTACGAGACACTGCCTCGTTCCTTTCAGTGGAGCGATATGTTTGTTTGAGTCATTGCTGGGGCCCCGAAGGCCCGACTCTTCAACTAACAAGCACAACTGAGAGCGACCTACGACAAGGTGTTGACTTGGACACAGTCCCTCGAACTTTCTCCGAAGCCGCAAAAGTATGCCTGAAAATGGGCATTCGATTCCTGTGGATTGATGCGCTCTGTATGTTAGACCCCAAACTACGATAGAAGACCGCTAAACGCCTTGCAGGCATCATTCAAGGGAACGAGGCTGATTGGATGGAAGCAGCGACCACTATGGCAAACATGTATGAGAATGCTTTCTTCACGATAGCTGCAACTGGTGCTGACAATAGTGACGAGGGTCTTCGACCCTTCAGAGAGTAGTCCAAGCCTGTGAGGCTCGGAACCTCCGACATTTTTGTACGAGAATGTATCAGTAAGGACAGCTGTATGTTATATGGGACTCGCAATCGCACGACTTGGCCACTGCTGTCACGTGCTTGGGCGTTCCAAGAAGGCCAGCTTTCGCCACGGATGTTGCGCTTCAGTTGCTATGAGATTGTTTGGGATTGCCGCACAACACGAGTAGAGCATGAGGAGGAAAAACGGGAATTCATTCTAGGCGCTGATGCCAAAGCGCTATTGTAGGAAGGTGAGTCGTTGTTGCGCAATCAAGAAGGCGACAATCCCATTGACACGCTAGGTGCCCCCACCTCTAGCATGCTAGGAGAGTGTCTATGTTGCCCATGTGTCAGTAAGGCGCTCTCTTTGTTATGCGTTATGCCAACGCAAGACTCCTGCTATATATAGTATCTACCCATACAGATGTTAGTTGTCAAGTATATCTACAATCCTGCTGTTAGTGGCAATACATTAGTGTGATCGAAGGTGGCATCAATGACAGTCTCGCGGACATTTGTTACGACAAACCAGTCAATCTTCTTCGGCTCCTCGTCGGTCAAAAAGGTGAATTGCTTGCCGAACTGTTTGGCAATCGATCCAGGGGGCCCGTCTAGCATGACAAATCCGTATGGGTCGTCACCATAGTCGACTTCCAGATTGTCCGGGGTCGTGTCTTTGTGATTGTTATCAAAGTTATTGGACCATTGCCAGGTGACACCGTCATTCTTGTCATCGTACGCATCGCTCCAAAGGTAGGCGGGGTTCACTGGCCAATCCTTCGTCAATCGTGATGGAGGCGAGCAACAAAGTGTGTTATCCAGAGAGAGCCCATCGCCTAACCAACAGACGGACATTCCATTGTCAAGCCCGAGGTTTGGTGGCGTGGTTTGAGCTTGTGTAACCATCAGTCGCCCGTCCAAGCAATGCTTGCTGCGGAAAATGCCAATCTCTTTGCAATAGTCTTCCTTGGAATTTGCATATTGAGAGACTGGAGATTGGTATTTTGCCATGAAGTGATCAGGGTCATTGGGCCATTGGCAGTTCTCGAAGGGATCGTCTTTCGGGCAACAGAAGGATCTGAAATGCTGATGCGTCTTGGTACCACCTTGACCGTCGTTGTGCATACCTGTTTGAGTTTTTCAGGTGTCTCCATCATTTTGATCATACCGTGTCGCAACACTGACCTCATCAGATGAGCAATGCCGGTTTTCGTCCGCAGTCCAATCGCATCCAGTCCAGTCGCATTTCTATACGATTGGGGTAGAGTCGCAACAAAACTTACGAGTGCCAAATATACACAATGCTTTCCCGAGTGGGTCGATATAGGTGTTCTGGTTTAGTCCGAATTGCGATTTGCCGCATTCACCACTGCAACCGAAAACGCTCCGTTCTGGAGCACCGATCCATTCGCAAATCTTTGGCATAGCTTTGGTAGGGCAGCATACGTGTTGGAATTTGCCTTTAGGACAATGGACGCTCGAAGACCCATCGCCTACATTGGCGTGCATTTCGTGGTCAATTGCCAATGAGAAGAAGCCTGGCTTACACATTTTACTACCAGTGTTCCGTGCTACTCGAGAGGTATTACGAGTCTGAGACAACTGGAGATCCACTGCCTAGCACAACCTTCCCAAGCACTTTCTTTCCACCGTACCCTAGTAATGCTGACTGAGTTACCGAGGAACTGCGGGAAGAGTGTGGGATATCAAGATTGCGCAAATTCATAGGGTTGTTCTCTGTACACGAATTATCGGAACGATGTTCCATCCCTCAGCATACAGTAACGTTCGTGGATGTGATGAAGAGGGATCACCCCCGCAGTTCTCGAGGTGCCCTGACAGATGGCCTCCGCTAGGACTTGCTTCAAAATCTCGGATGTGCTCTGGCCTGATTTTTTTGTACCAAACCGACTGTCCATGAATGTCGAGAAAGTGCACCTTGACCAATTTTTCTTGCAGTGCCTCCTCGTCAAAAAGGAAGTGAATAGATTTGGACTTCATGACTGCGTTGTACAACGGCAGTCTCGCCTCATCGTTTGGTGGTGAGACTGCAAGCTGGCTTTCGTCATTCTCCGGGTGCCCATCGTTGTAATGGACGACAGTGTCTATGAGTTGAGGTAGACGCAGGAAAACCCTTGTCCAGTCGTGCCCATATTGACCATAAAGACTCTCGTCGTCAAGAACAATCTCCGGCCCAAAGTCTGCTTGACCGCACTCGAACATTTCCTGGTAAGCAGTGTCGAGTTTAACCGCATAACAAGTACGGATCCAGATTGGGTAAGGGACACGGCTCAGGAATTTCTGGGTTAGATTGCGCTCGGTGATCGTCTGGTGGGGAGCCAATATACGCTGAACTCGCGATTGCGGTGGCAGATATGGCGCATCGGGAGGAGGACTATCCGTGGGACTGCACATTCTCCAGTATGGCTAACGCAAATCTTAGTTTAGCACATTTTGCAGTACTTTATGCAGTTCGTCGTGAACAAGGCACCCACACTGCGATCAATATGGTTCATCGACAGCTATCTGGAAGCAAGGTCGTTCCACTGCTCCTGATCGTTCTCTTCCGCTTTATCGACATCCCAATTAGTCTTTGCATATCGCGTTAGTAGATGGCAGACAGAAATAAAGTGAATACACTGACTAGGACAAATTGGTGGAATGGCAAATTGCCATACTCGGCTCCCGGGTTGAGCAGTGTTGATTCATGCTCATGAACAGGCTTCATAGCCAATATTTCAGTCTACTGCATCTCGGAGATTGAACCTCACGCGATATAAGAAATATGTAAATACTGGAGACTCGCCAAGAGCCAAGCAGACGCTATGTCGCGAACCAATCCTATGAGCAAGAGCCCATGCGCTGTCCAGTTACGTTATTCTACTTGCTCTAACGTGTTTTACAAGCGAGCGGGCCATACAAGCGAGCGGGCCACCCCACCAACTTTGCGCACCTCTTTACGTGTACAGCTCTACCACAACTAAATAAAACTCATATATATTAAGATAGTAGATTAAATACTATCTAAAGTATCTTTCTTACATGTACGC